GAGTGTAGGTGTGAGGGAGTGTAAGTGTGAGGGAGTGTAAGTGTGAGGGAGTGTAGGTGTGAGGGAGTGTAGGTGTGAGGGAGTGTAGGTGTGAGGGAGTGTAAGTGTGAGGGAGTGTAGGTGTGAGGGAGTGTAGGTGTGAGTGTGTGAGGGAGTGTAAGTGTGAGGGAGCGTAAGTGTGAGGGCGTGTAGGTCAGGGAGTGTAAGTGTGAGGGAGTGTAGGTGTAAGGGAGTGTAGGTGTGAGGGAGTGTAGGTGTGAGGGAGTGTAAGTGTGAGGGAGTGTAGGTGTGAGGGAGTGTAGGTGTGAGGGAGTGTAAGTGTGAGGGCGTGTAGGTGAGGGAGTGTAAGTGTGAGGGAGTGTAGGTGTGAGGGAGTGTAGGTGTGAGGGAGTGTAGTTGTGAGGGAGTGTAGGTGTGAGTGTGTGAGGGAGTGTAAGTGTGAGGGAGTGTAGGTGTGAGGGAGTGTAATTGTGAGGGAGTGTAGGTGTGAGGGAGTGTAGGTTTGAGTGAGTGTAAGTGTGAGTGAGTGTAGTGTGAGGGAGTAGGTGTGAGGGAGTGTAAGTGTGTGTGAGGAAGTGTGAGGGAGTGTAGGTGTGAGGGAGTTTAAGTGTGAGGGAGTGTAGGTGTGAGGGAGCGTAGGTGTGTGTGAGGGAGTGTAAGTGTGAGGGAGTGTAGGTGTGAGGGAGTGTAAGTGTGAGGGAGTGTAGGTGTGAGAGATTGGAGGTGTGAGGGAGTGTAAGTGTGAGGGAGTGTAGGTGTGAGGGAGTGTAAGTGTGAGGGAGTGTAGGTGTGAGGGAGTGTAGGTGTGAGGGAGTGTAGGTGTGACGGAGTGTAGGTGTGAGGTAGTGTAAGTGGGAGGGAGTGTAAGTGTGAGTGAGTGAAGTGTGAAGGAGTGTAGGTGTGCGCAATTGTAGGTGTGAGGGAGTTTAAGTGTGAGGGAGTGTAGATGTGAGGGAGTGTAAGTGTGAGGGAGTGTAGGTGTGAGGGAGTGTGTGAGGGAGTGTAGGTGTGAGGGAGTGTAGGTGTGAGGGAGTGTAAGTGTGAGGGAGTGTAAGTGTGAGGGAGTGTAGGTGAGGGAGTGTAAGTGTGAGGGAGTGTAAGTGTGAGGGCGTGTAGGTGAGGGAGTGTAAGTGTGAGGGAGTGTAGGTGTGAGGTAGTGTAGGTGTGAGTGTGTGAGGAAGTGTAAGTGTGAGGGAGTGTAGGTGTGAGGGAGTTTAAGTGTGAGGGAGTGTAGGTGTGAGGGCGTGTAGGTGTGAGTGTGTGAGGGAGTGTAAGTGTGAGGGAGTGTAGGTGTGAGGGAGTGTAAGTGTGAGGGAGTGTAGGTGTGAGGTAGTGTAAGTGGGAGAGAGTGTAAGTGTGAGGTAGTGTAAGTGGGAGGGAGTATAAGTGTGAGGGAGTGTAAGTGTGAGGGAGTGTAGGTGTGCACAAGTGTAGGTGTGAGGGAGTGTAAGTGTGAGGGAGTGTAGATGTGAGGGAGTGTAAGTGTGAGGGAGTGTAGGTGTGAGGGAGTGTGTGAGGGAGTGTAGGTGTGAGGGAGTGTAGGTGTGAGGGAGTGTAGGTGTGAGTGTGTGAGGGAGTGTAGGTGTGAGTGAGTGTAAGTGTGAGGGAGTGTAGGTGCGAGGGAGTGTAGGTGTGAGGGAGTGTAAGTGTGAGGGAGTGTAGGTGTGAGGGAGTGTAAGTGTGAGGGAGTGTAGGTGTGACGGAGTGTAGGTGTGAGGAAGTGTAGGTGTGAAGGAGTGTAGGTGTGAGGGAGTGTAGGTGTGAGGGAGTGTAAGTGTGAGGGAGTGTAAGTGTGAGGGAGTGTAAATGTGAGGAAGTGTAGGTGTGAGGGAGTGTAAGTTTGAGGGAGTGTAAATGTGAGGGAGTGTAGGTGTGAGGGAGTGTAGGTGTGAGAGAGTGTAAGTGTGAGGGAGTGTAGGTGAGGGAGTGTAAGTGTGAGGGAGTGTAAGTGTGAGGGCGTGTAGGTGAGGGAGTGTAAGTGTGAGGGAGTGTAGGTGTGAGGGAGTGTAGGTGTGAGGGAGTGTAGGTGTGAGTGTGTGAGGAAGTGTAAGTTTGAGGGAGTGTAGGTGTGAGGGAGTTTAAGTGTGAGGGCGTGTAGGTGAGGGAGTGTAAATGTGAGGGAGTGTAGGTGTGAGGGAGTGTAGGTGTGAAGGAGTGTAAGTTTGAGGGAGTGTAAGTGTGAGGGAGTGTAAGCGTGAGGGAGTGTAGGTGTGAGGGAGTGTAAGTGTGAGGTAGTGTAAGTGTGAGGGAGTGTAGGTGTGAGGGAGTGTAAGTGTGAGGGAGTGTAAGTGTGAGCCATTGGCTCTGTCTAGCACTCTAGCACAAGCACGAGTCGGATGTTTTCATTTATTCTCACGGTTCATTCATCGATGCTTCTTATACCAGAAAGCCACAATGCGTCTCATCAAGGAATTTTTCAGCAGGGTTCCTCTTGCAATGTTTGTGAAGTTCCTAATTGAATGTTTAATTGGGAAAGCTTAATGAGACAGATTATTTATCACAAACTAAATAAGTACAGCAAATGGGTTCTTGGGACCCATTTGTTCTTCGGGTGCTCCGGTTTTTTCATCACCCCTCGTACATTCCTCACCTCTCCATTCACCCTCCCCTGTTCTCCTCCTTCTCATCTTCAACTCTATTCTTATTTATTTTGTTATTATTATTTTCTTTATTACTGTTTTAGCGGCTTCCGTGTTTTGGGCAGCGGCAACAACCGCCGCCCACTCACCATCCTACCTGCTGCCCCCGCACGAACTGTGTCCGCTACCAAGTTACACAAGAGCCATAGTCTCTGGTTATTTCGGTAAGGCCACGCAAGTATAAAATAAAATAAATCACGACGTTTCGGGCGCAACACAAGCGTCCGTCATTCGGTCGTGATTTATTTCATTTTCTACCTACGTGACTTTACCGAAAGAACCAGAGAGTATGTAATTCCTGCAGTCGCGAAAGCTTCAAAGCAAGATTGACACAAGGAGCTGTCGAAATCCGTCTGTGCCGCCTCTCCAGTTCGTCTTCCCCTGCCGCTCAGTGTGATCGAGCTGCACACCCAACTGCAAGAGCACGGCTCACAAAATCCGTCTGCGCCGTCTCTGTCGTGAGGCTCCCCCGCCACCTCGGCGATGGAGGCGAGCGGCTCCCCCATGGAGCAGCGCTACCGGCTGGGCATGGCCGCTCCGGCGTTGCCAGCGGCCCCAACTACGTCTGCACAGCCGGTGAATTAAAGGGGCCGTCCACAAATGACGTCACGCACCTAGGGGGGAGGGGGGTCAGACATTTGTGACGATGTGTGACGAGGGGGAGGGTTGGAGAAATTTGACGTCACATCAACATGCGCAACTTTAAATATAAACAATACGTTCTACTTAATTAAATATAATTTTTATAACAACACTAATTTTGATTAATTTTCATTAACGATTTTATGATTTAACTTTGCTAAGGTCACCTTTTATTTATTCCATGAAGGAGCATTTTGCTTCTGCATGGGAGAATGGAGAAGCATAAATTTTGAAAATTTTCTGAATTATTGTTATTAAACATTTAGATTTTAATTATTCTACAGGGCTTTTCATTCTGTGGAATGTGATTGTTATAATTTTACTCTCCAATTTGCTTTGTTCTACTGCAAAGTTGCAAGTATTTTTATGCTTATAATTACTTTTAATCTATATATAAAAGGGAAATTTGTGAATGTGTCTGTTCGAAATGTTTAGCATACTTCCTGACATGCAACAAACTTGAAATGTAGCATGTGGGTAGCTTCCAGACTGTACACAATACAAAAAGTATAAAAATAGACTTTTGTATATATATTTTTGGGGGGGGGACGCAATAATGGATATATTTAGCACGGCAGGTGACGTCACATGTGATGTCACCCGCTTGCGGTAGCGTCACGCCGTGTGCCTGCTGACGTCACGGATCCCCCCCCCCACCCTCCGCGTAGGCCGTGTATTAATCAAAGAATCCAAGTCTCGGGCGAAGCCGGGTAGTAAAGCTAGTTTTTTAATAGTTATAAGAGAATTTCAATATAATAGTCTGAACATCTACAGTTTTAGTTAGACGTTATTTTCAAGTGAATTTTATGGTAAATTTCAGCTTTCCAACGCCTTCTTTTTAATACGTGTTTTCTCCTACAACATCAGAGTGCAGCGCCACATTAAACACGCACTACAATGACAATAGTTTAAAGTGATTTGAAGCGTGTTTTATTTTAAAGGTGACGGACGGGAAAAGGAAATAGCGCTTGCCCACCGCGGGACTTACGGCGTGCTAACCTGGCGAATTTGTTTTTAATGTAAACCCCACCGTTCGAGAGCCGAATTTCTCGCAAGCGCGCTTGCGCAGACAGACAGACAAAACATGACTTTAATAGGTTAGATTTTGTATTCTTCGTTTACGTTCGAATGGGGGTAAAGCAGCTGCCGAATCGAAGTTCAACTTCTGATGGGAGAGACTCCGTCTGACTGCGGCTCACTCGAGGGGGCAACAGCGACATGTGGGTTCGGACTCTTTCAAGAGGACCACCATGCTGGTTGTGTTCTTACGGTGCGGTGCCTACCGCCAAGACGTACAAAATAAGGAATCGAGGATGAGCGGGGTGGGGTTTTTTTCGCTGGGTTAGATCGCGTGGACATTGTTGTCGTTGAACCCGCCAAGGCCCGACGCAGCCACATCAATTCGGTTTGTTCCGTAACACAAAACGTGCCAGTTTAGTTGCTGCTTCAGTTGCTGCTTCAGCACCGCGGTTGCGTGTTGGAGAGCTCCGGGCGACCATCGATCATCCGGCGGCTTTCGAGGCGGCGAGGGCGTGCCGGATTTACAAAAAAAAAACGCCAGATAATCACATCATCGTTATTTACAATAGCTTATGTTTGCACATTCTTCTTGTATGACGTTATGGTTTTTAGGTTGGTGTATGTTTTTTTGCGTTTTAATTTTATTAACCGTGTGCAATTTGCAAAAAAAAGACCAGACAATTAAGACAGAAATCAATATCCTGTAAAAAGTGACTATTTACTGTACGGTAACTTACCACTCCAATCTCGAAGACTGCATGACGGAGTGATGTATACAGTGCAGTATTTTTTGTATTGTTAGGTTGTATGTAGTGCATAATGTACCGTATGTAATATTTAACACTGAAATCAAGCATACCAACTTTTTTTTGTCACGCACGCGATGCCGATAGCCGCACTCGTTACGGCAGTCTTTGGACCAGTTTTTCCGGATCGGCCCGCGATCGCCAAATAATGTTGGAAGCCGGATAATCGTGGATCAACTGTAAAATCCACACTTTGTTTCTTTCGGTAAAGTCACGTTGGTATAAAATAAAAGAAATCACGACGTTTCGGGCGCAACACAGGCGTCCATCATCACTTGGGCTTAGCCCAAGTCACGTGATGATGGACGCCTGTGTTGCGTTGTGCCCGTGACTTTACCGAAAGAACCAAAGAGTATGGATTCCTGCAGTCACGAAAGCTTCAAATCAAGATTTTAAAATCCACGTTTACAATTCGGCTACCGTGACGTTTCACTGGTCATTACATTATGAATATGAATTGTTTAAATATCGACAATGTGCAATTAAAAATAAACAACGTAGATAGCGGCCTCCGGACGGAGAGTCAGCTGTCCCGGGTTGTTTTGACCATACTTCACCGCGCTGGTCACTGCGTGTGGAAAGGGAATCGCAATGCTCTTCAATCAATCCCAGAGGAAAGCGTCACGGGGTCCCGAGACGCGTTGCTTCAGAATCATTATTCATGGTGCGGAAGGAATCCGATGAGCTACAAAGCTCTTTTCCACAGATGTCCCGCAGGGTCACGGGGTGGGAACGCCACAACACCGGGGGACGTTTACACTGCGGCAGAGGCGGCGACGGCGAGCCGCCACTATCGTTGAGCTGCTGCCAATTGGTGACGGCCAGGGTTGGCTTCTGAAGGAGGGCGACTCCGTTGCAACTCAGTGGTGGGTGAGGCCTTACTTGGTACATTAAAATAAAATAAAAACGTACAGCCTGGCTTTGACATATTCGAGTCATGAGCACCGCACAAGGGATGGATTCAAGAATCCATTCTCATATCCGTCAACCCATACGGTTTACCCGTATTCTTGTACAGGGAAATAACATTTTTCAGCTCCATACTGCTTATAGCCATTTGAATACGGGCAAAAATATACAGTATATATCTATTTTTGTTGTCTATTTGTTTGTCTTTCTCCCTTGTGACGGGACTTTGTAGGATGAACGTTGAGATGTCTAAGGTGTGAATTGGCCTGTAACAAAGTAGTCACCGATAAGGGATTGACAGGTGTGCATCCCTAGATTGAGAATTCCTGGCGACATGGCGGCCACCAAGCCCTTGGCATCGCCACGCAGCCTCCTCCCCCGCCTCAACACTCGCCAGGCTCGACCCTGGCTTAGCCCAAGTCACGTGCTGCAAGCAGTGGATTCCGGTTGCAGCGGAGGCGAGGGACATTCACAGTTCAATGAAGCGCAGGTGAACGCAGCGCAGATAAAGAACTGCCCTGAGAACAGACGTCTCCACACACACTCGTGAGTTCGGACGAAATGTTCAACAGCAGCGTGGGTTGGGCACCGAAACCTCCCGCTGAGCCTCCTGCACTCTGCACCGTGCCGGTGGTGTGCCTTCGTGTGGCTCCACGAGCCCCCAGAGAAGCCCGCAGGAGTGAACCGCATGAACCCGCAGGAGTGAACCATATGCACCAGCAGGAGTGAACCGCATGAACCAGCAGGAGTGAACAGGCAAGAACCAGCAGGAGTGAACCGCTTGAAATCGCAGGAGTGAACCGCATGCACCAACAGGAGTGAACCACATGAACCAGCAGGAGTGAACCGCATGCACCAACAGGAGTGAACCACATGAACCAGCAGGAGTGAACCACATGAACCAGCAGGAGTAAACCGCATGCACCAACAGCAGTGAACCACATGAACCAGCAGGAGTGAACCACATGAACCAGCAGGAGTGAACCGCTTGAAACCGCAGGAGTGAACCACATGAACCAGCAAGAGTGAACCACAAACCAGCAGGAGTGAACCACATGCACCAGCAAGAGTGAACCGCATGAACCAGCAGGAGTGAACCACATGCACCAACAGGAGTGAACCACATGCACCAACAGGAGTGAACCACATGCACCAACAGGAGTGAACCACATGAACCCGCAGGAGTGAACCACTTGAAACCGCAGGAGTGAACCACATGAACCAGCAGGAATCCGCAAGAGTGTACCGCATGAACCCGCAGGATTGAATCACGTGAACCCGCAGTAGTGAACCGCATGAACCCGCAGGAGTGAACCGCATGAACCCGCAGTAGTGAACCGGCAAGAAACCGCAAGAGGCTGCACCATCGAGGAGCACGATTTATTGAAGTCCGCGTCGTGGGGACGGAACCACGAGGACCGGTCGGTGCGGAGCGGCCACCGCTGGGGGCCCCCTCGCGACGCCACAGCCAGGAAACGAAACGCAACACCAACGGGGCGACGCACGCGACGAGCGTCCCGTCCGAGACGGGGCCAGCGGCCCCCCTGCTCCCGCCTCGCAGGAAGGGGGCCCTGCGGCCACGGCCGCCCGCGTCCACTCCGGCCTCGGGCAAACCGCCCACGCCCGCCGCAGCCCGCTCAGTCCGGCCGCTTCTCTCCCGTCGGCTCCCCGTCCCCCGTCACCGTCCCGACCGCGACGGCCTCCGTCCGCGCCCTCGATCCCCCGGCTACCCTGTTCTCGACTCGCCGCCGCCGCCGCCCCTCCGTCGGAGCGACGTTTGCCCCGCGCCACCGTCGTCGCCGCGACAGCCTACGCAGGCGGCCTCGCTCCACGGCCGCTCGACCGCCGGGCCCCGTTCCACGATTTCACTCGGCTGCACGCCGGGCGCGGCCGCTCCGGCGCCGGCGGCTCTCCACCCCGGCGTCCACCCCGCTCCCCTCCGGGCCTCGCCGGCTCGGGTTTCACCGCCGCTCCGGGGGATGCGGTCGCTTCATCCGCTCTCTCGTTCCTCGCGGGTGCTCACATGCACACACGGTGGCGGGGGCGGGGGGGCACCTCCGCAGCCCCCGAATCCTTTCATCGACGTCGCCCCCCAGCCCCCCCGACCCGGCCCGCCACCTCCACCGCACGTGGAGTTGCATGCGGGCACTTCCGAGACATTTTGCATATCGGGGTGGAAAAGAAACCCCCAAAGGCTTTCGTCCCGTTACGGTCGCTCGAGCGTCGTCGCCGCTGCCGCCGGCGGAGGAGGAGGTGCAAACGTCGCCGCCGCCGCTTCTCCTCCGTCGCCCCGTCCCCCCCCCTGACGACATCCGCAGAGGGAGACGCGGTGGGTGGGTGGTGGGGGGGGGTCGGGCGTCAGTCGGAGTCGCTGGAGTCGGACGTGGGGTCGCCCCGCGTCACCTTACTGCGGTGCAACATGGCGCGCTCGTACGCCACATGCACCGACTTGCGGATGTTGGATTTGCGTCCCTCCAGCATCTTGGCCTTGTCGATGGCCTGCTCCACGCCCAGGGCCACCAGCTTGGAGCGGGGCAGCCACTGCCTGCGCGCACGCGGTGGGGAGGGGGGGGGGCACACGAGGGCGGCGTCATGGCCGTCAGCGCACGGAGGGGAACGTGAGGAAGGTGGCTCCGTGTCGCGTACCGCCACCGTCACTACCACCATCATCATCACCACCATCATCATCACCACCACCAACATCATCACCACCACCATCATCATTAACGTCATCATCACCACCACCACCACCATCACCATCATCATCATCACCACCACCACCACCACCATCGTCATTACCACCATCATCACCACCACTGTCACAACCACCACCGTCACCACCACCATCATTGCCACCATCATCATCACCACCACCACCATCGTCATTACCGCCATCATCACCACCACTACCATCATCACTACCAGCATCTCCACCAACATCACAACCACCATCAGCATCACCATCAACATCTCCACCACCAGCAGCAAGGAAAAGGATTCCCCTCTATACCCATACAGACTGTTGGGGCAAGAGCTGTTAGCGAGCAGCACCTACGAAGGCTGGTATGGCACATAAGGGGGTGGGGGCCAGCACCACGCCTGGCTGCCTTTGTCTCTCCAGTGCTGTTGTTCATACACAGGACTGGTCCACATGATCGTCACTGGTGTTGGCCGTGAGCTGGAATCGAACCCGGGTCGCCAGGTTCATAGTGCAGCCGCACGCACACGCCACACACACACGCCACACACCACCCACACACGCCACAAACCACCGCACACACACCACCGCACATACACATGCCACACACACACACGCCACACATCACCGCACACACCACCGCACGTACACGCCACACACAAACGCCACACACCACCGCACACACACACGCCACACACCACCGCACACACACACGCCACACACCACCGCACACACACACGCCACACACCACCGCACACACACATACTCCACACACACACACCACCGCACACACGCTTCACACAGACGCAAACACAGACACGCACGAGCCGAGACATTTACCAGGTCTATTGTGAACTTGGTAATTTTCAGTTAACACTCTTAACGGAGCCACTGAAGCAATCCATCACACGTCATTTGAAGCCATTTTGTATCTCATTAATCTAAAAAGATTTATAATTAACACGGTTGCTGAAGGACTGGCCCAAAGGGCCAAAACGCCAAGCAGCCAGCAACAAACAGCACTGTTAAAAGCGGAATCCTTGGAGACGTCCAGCAGCGAGCGAGCGAGCGAGCGAGACGGTGCCCGAGGTGGGTCGTGGCGTTTATGTGCACCGTGAGATGGAGTCGCCAAAAATAAATTGATAAATTACGATTTTGACTTCTGTTTATTCGGGACACCGGGGTCCCGCCGTACGGTTCAATTGAGGCAGAATGTTCGCTCTGTAGCAACGTGGTTATTACCGGGAGTTAAAGAACGGCTTCTCCGATACCTCCTGAGCCATGTCGGTAACAGGGCCATTCCACGGTAGGACACAGAGCCTGCTGTGCCACGCAGATTGACGGCTCGACCGTGAATAAGAACAACGTCGTCGTCATCGTGAGGATTGACGCCAGGCGGCGTGGAATTGCCTCAGTCTCACGCCAAGAAACAACCGTGGTGGAAGACTCAACAGGGTTGACGTTCAACTGCCCCCTTGTCGCCCCCCGGCCTGGGGTGGTCTCCCTGTGGCTACTCGTGCGTGCGTACCAGGTGTGTGTACCAGGTGTATGTGCGTACCAGGTGTGTGTGTACCAGGTGTATGTGTGTACCAGGTGTATGTGTGTACCAGGTGCGTGCATGCCAGGTGCGTGCGTACCAGGTGTACGTGTGTACCAGGTGCGTGCGTGCCAGGTGCGTGCGTACCAGGTGTATGTGTGTACCAGGTGTATGTGTGTACCAGGTGTGTGTGTGTACCAAGTGTGTGTGTGTGTACCAGGTGTGTGTGTGTACCAGGTGTGTGTGTACCAGGTGTGTGTGTGTGTGTGTACCAGGTGTGTGTGTACCAGGTGTGTGTGTGTACCAGGTGTATGTGTGTACCAGGTGTGTGTGTGTACCAGGTGTGTGTGTACCAGGTGTGTGTACCAGGTGTGTGTGTGTACCAGGTGTGTGTGTGTACCAGGTGTGTGTGTGTACCAGGTGTGTGTGTGTACCAGGTGTGTGTACCAGGTGTATGTGTGTACCAGGTGTATGTGTGTACCAGGTGCGTGCGTACCAGGTGTGCGTGTACCAGGTGTATGTGTGTACCAGGTGCGTGCGTACCAGGTGTGTGTACCAGGTGTATGTGTGTACCAGGTGCGTGTGTACCAGGTGCGTGCGTACCAGGTGTGTGTGTACCAGGTGTATGTGTGTACCAGGTGTGTGTGCCAGGTGTATGTGTGTACCAGGTGTATGTGTGTACCAGGTGTATGTGCGTACCAGGTGTGTGTGTACCAGGTGTATGTGTGTACCAGGTGCGTGCGTGCCCACGTACCAGGTGCGTGTGTGCGTACCAGAAGCGTGGTGCGTGCGTGCGTACCAGGTGCGCTTGTTGTCAAAGAAGAGGACAAGGAAGAGGGGCTCCGTGGCCTCCATGATGCGCGTCTCGCCCAGCTTGAGCACGTCGAGGGGCGGCACGGGGATGGGCACGCCGTTGTGCAGGAAGCCTTCACGCGGCATCTTGGGGTCGATGATCTACGACGCACACACGGACACACACACGCACGGACACACACACGCACGGACACACACACGCACGCACGGACACACAGACGCACGTACGCCATCACCCCCCACGTGAAGGGAGAGGTCGCTCCATACGAACGGGGGCGGCCTCGTCTCGTTGGCACAGCCAACGGCAACGAATTACGGCCGGGGGCGGAGCGTCGCGACAATATCGTGACGCGTTGCGATGCGGGCTCGAGCGTCGTAAACGCTGGCAAACACCGCAGAATGCAGAGTCCTTCAAAATTCGGACAGAGTAAACACCGCGACAAACGTCCGTCCAAACGCAAACCCATTCACCGAATCAAATAATCTTGACGGCAAACGTCGCGACAGCTGCGGTTTCCGGAACGCAGTCAAATGAAATGCAGATGTCAGCAGGAGAAAGGGAATCTACAAAAATACGATTAACGAGGAACAAAAGGAACAAAACGAGCGAGACGCACGGTCGCGTGTGTAAAAAGACCCCCCCCCCCGCCACGCATGCGAACACGCACGCGCACGCACACGCACACGCACGCATACACGCACACACCCGTACACGCACACGCGCGTACACGCACACACGCGTACACGCACACACACGCGTACACGCACACACGCACACACACGCACACACGCACACACGCACACACGCGTACACGCACACACGCGTACACGCACACACGCGTACACGCACACACGCGTACACGCACACACACGCGTACACGCACACATGCACACACGCGTACAGGCAGGCACACACATGCGCGCACGCGATCCCACGCGGTGCCCCCCCCCCCCACCCGCTCACCAGTGCCGGGTACGAGGGATAGCCACGGCACTTGGCCCACACGAGGTCAAGCGCCTCCAGTGGGGTGTCGTCGTCGTCATCATCGTCGTAGTCCCAGCTGGCGCACGGCAGCCCCTTGCCACCTGCGGGGACGGCACGGCAGGAGCGACGCTCGGCACCGCGACACTCAGCGGCGCGTCGTGCGGTGGCGTCGTGTGGCATGGTGAGGTGTCGTGTGGCATGGTGCGGTGTCGTGTGGCATGGTGCGGTGTCGTGTGGCATGGTGCGGTGTCGTGTGGCATGGTGCGGTGTCGTGTGGCATGGTGCGGTGTCGTGTGGCATGGTGCGGTGTCGTGTGGCATGGTGCGGTGTCGTGTGGCATGGTGCGGTGTCGTGTGGCATGGTGCGGTGTCGTGTGGCATTGTGCGGTGTCGTGTGGCGTCGTGCGGTGGCGTCGTGCGGTGGCGTGCGACGCGGGAGTCCCCCCCCCCTCCAACCCACTGTAAAAAAAGGTAAAGGCGCAGCCCTTTTCTCGCTCGCACCATTCCCGGCGGAAGATTCCTCTTCCACGCTGACCGGACAGACGCTTTGGGAGAGGTGGGTTCATCCAACCTCGCCCTGGAGCCCAGCATTGTTATTATTGTTGTTGTTACAATTATTTGTTGTTGTTACGCTTATTTACCTAGCAAAACCTCGGGAGGCGATGATTGCGCAACGTTTCCTAACCGTGCTACCAGGTGCGCGCGTACCAGAAGTTCAACACACTCAATCTGTGGGTGATTTTTCAAATTCGAGCCACGACACTGACCGGCACACCTTGGCCTCATCGCCTCATCCTCCCTCTCCTCCCCCCACCTCTCCTTCTCCCCCCCTCTACTCCTCCTCCTGCCCTTCTCCTCCCCCTCCTCCTCCTCCTCCCCCTCCTCCTCCCCCTCCTCGTCTTCCCCCTCCTCCTCTCCTCTTCCTGCCCCTACGCGCTGAGCCGCGCATACCAGAGTCGCCGCCGCCGCCGGCGCCCCCGGCTGTCTCGTTGTCGGAGCCCGAGGTCTCGTCGCTGCTGTCCTCGGTGAAGTTCACCCGAGAGAAGCTGGCCTTGCCTCGGCTCTGCTTGTCTGGGGACGCGCTGCAGAAACGGAGAGACAGAGACGCCAGGAAGTGGGCGGGCGTCACGACCCGCCGCTGTTACGTCGCACGGCAAAAGGCGCCAGCGACGCCGGTAACCCAAGAGCTGTGGCGCCACGGGCGGCAAGGCCGGGCCACAGGTCAACAACCGCCGTTGACGCCCCCCGCACGGCGGTACTCCGTTTGATCGACCACCAAACCCGAGAGTTGAACTCGCCACCTTGCGATGGGGCGAGCCGCTCGCTCTCCCGCTGCGCCACCTGGCCGGATGTATGGTCGTCAAACCGTTGCCAGGCGAAGGCCTCCCCCAACGCCACGTTGCTTAGGCGAGTTGACTTTGACCATACTTCGCCACGCCCACGATCGGCGCGGGTCGGTGGAAGTGGCAGGGGGGCCAGGAGCGACCATTGCGGACGTTACCCGCGGCAGGGATTCGAACTCGGGCCAGCTGGCTTCGCGGTGCAACGCGCTAACCGCTCCACCGCCACTCCGCGACGGCCGCGTGCGCCGCACGTGCCTCGTGTTGTCGGTGGCGGCGCTGCTGGAGGAGCTGGTTGTGGACTCCGAGTCGGAGCTGCTCTGCTTGTGCCGGTAGATCAGGAAGCTCTGCGTGTTGGCGTCCTGGGCAATGCACTCGAAGCCCTCGTCTGCGCCTAGACGCATGGACGGCACGGGCGCGGCCTCCCTTACGGACAGCACGGACGTGGACGAGTGCAAAGGAGTACGGCTCTGTCGTGAATGCAGTGTCGCCAGTGGTGATGGAGGTTAAGAGAGCGGTGCATGTGTGTGTGACGGAGGTGGGTGTGTGTGCGTGTGTAACGACGGCGTGTGTGTGTGTGATGGCGGTGTATGACAATGGCGTTTGTGCGCGTGTGTGACGGTGGTGTGTGTGACAACGGCGTGTGTGACAACAGTGTGTGTGTGACAACAGTGTGTGTGTGACAACAGTGTGTGTGTGACAACAGTGTGTGTGTGACAACGGTGTGTGTGACAACGGTGTGTGTGTGACAACGGTGTGTGTGTGACAACAGTGTGTGTGTGACGGTGTGTGTGTGACGACGGTGTGTGTGTGACAACGGTGTGTGTGACGACGGTGTGTGTGTGACGACGGTGTGTGTGTGACGACGGCGTGCGTGACGACGGTGTGTGTGTGACAACGGTGTGTGTGTGACGGTGTGTGTGTGACAACAGTGTGTGTGTGACAACAGTGTGTGTGTGACGGTGTGTGTGTGATGGTGTGTGTGTGACGGTGTGTGTGACGACGGTGTGTGTGTGACGGTGTGTGTGTGACGGTGTGTGTGTGTGACAACGGCGTGTGTGTGACGACAGCGTGTGTGACGACGGCGTGTGTGACGACGGCGTGTGTGACGACAGCGTGTGTGACGACGGCGTGTGTGACGACAGCGTGTGTGACGACGGCGTGTGTGACGACGGCGTGTGTGTGACGGTGTGTGTGTGACGGTGTGTGTGTGACGGTGTGTGTGTGACGGTGTGTGTGTGACGGTGTGTGTGTGACGGTGCGTGTGTGACGACAGCATGTGTGACGACGGCGTGTGTGTGTGTGTGATTGTGGCTGGCGAGGGCGGTACCGGCGTGCGAGAGGCGGCACGATGACCCGTCGCTGTCGCTCTCCGAGCTGGAGCTGCTGCGAGGGCGCTTCCGAGGGCCCGGCGGCGCGGAGCCCGGCGGCGCGGAGACCGCGGCCGCGGCGCCGGCGCCCGCGGGAACGCACCCCGGCCCTCCCGGGCCGCCCACGGACGAGGTGGACGACGAGGACGAGGCCTGGCCCGGTCCGGGACCCGCCGGCGGCCCCGCCGCTCCGCTGGACTCACGGTGCTTGGGGGGACGTCCAGGCCTGCGCCACGGGGTCAAGCGGGAATCAACACGGCGTCGTCGACGACTCACCAGTGAAAATTCGTACAGCCGGGGCATTGCGTGCGTGTGTGCTTTACGCAAATGATAGTACGGCTAAATCCACTCGTTTAAATCAGTCGGGCGGCATTATCTTTTCATCGGCTGCGTAACGCTGTGTGGAAGCTACCTGGTCTGTCGCTCTGCACGAAGCTTCGGGTCTTCTCGGCCACAGTCATTCCCTCCCTTCTCTACACTTGCGAAACGTGGACCCCTTTAATGGAACATCTGCGCCGGTTATAAACCTTCACGCTGGCTTGCCTACGATCCATCCTGGATTTAACCAGACCGGATTTTGTGAGGTCACAAATCCTTGAAAGATATGGACACATTCCCATCAGTGCGCTCCTCCGGCAGGCAAGGCTGCGTTGGCTGGGTCATGTAGCCCGCATGCCAAGCAATAGCATGCCCAAGCAGCTTGTGTTTGTCCGCATGGAGGGGGGCTAAACGGCCACGATATGGGCTGGAGAAGAGATGGTCTGATGCAGTACGGGAGGATGTGGAGCTGAGTAGACTTGCTGATGACTGGTACCAGCGGTGGCAGGATCAGCCTCCCTGGAGGAGGCTCGTGAAGGACGCTACTGAGCAATTGGAGGCAGTCGCCCTCCAGCAACAACGGAGGGCGGAGGAGCGACGCTCACAACAACAAGCGGAGCACCAGGCGGCTAACATGCAGCAAGTTGGCACAGTAGGGAGTACAGCTGGTGTGCATCTACTGGTCATCTCAGTCAGCCTACCCATGGCACATGCTGGGTCAGTCCTGTGACTTCCTTCTGCCAGCAGCGAGCCTTCGACACTTCACGTGATAGCCTCAAAGTGCACCTAGCCTGGTACAGGTGCCGTGGTGACGTCACCGTCACTTAGTGGCGAATGGCGGTTGTATTGGTGTGCGTGTACATGTGTGTGTCCGGCGGTAGTATAGCGGTTAGCGCGCTGCGCTACGATACTGCCGACCCGGGTTCGATTCCCGCTCACGGCCAACACCAGTGACGATTATCTGAAACGGTCCTGGGCCTCCCCTAGGTCGACTCAGCCTCAAATGAGTACCTGGTGTGATGTGTAAACATCGCCACTGGGGAGACAAAGGCGGCCGGGCGTGGTGTTGGCCACCCACCCCCTCGTGTGCCGTGCCGGCACTTTCCCCTACAGTCTGTTAAGGCTATACGGGGGATCTTTGTGTGTGCGTGTATGTGTGTGCGCGCTTGCGCTCAAAGACCCACCCCCCCCCCCCCCCATAGCCTACACAGACTCGTGGGGCTTGTGCTGTTCACATGCAGACGTATAAAGGCCAATACGTGGGGTGTTGTGGCCAGATCCCAGGCTTGGCCGCCTTCGGGCAAATTCAAAATGTGGTGGGTTTACTCTCCAACACACCGGTGTGCTGAACTAGTAACGAATTGGCGCGTTTTGTGTACGTGACAAACCTTACTCATTGGCCGTGTCAGGTGGTGGCGGGTTTAACGACACATTTATATTTAGGCGATCTAACCCAAGAAAACACTGCATGATGGATAATACTGGTCGCGAAAGCCCTGCTGCTCTGTGTTAAACAGACTCACGAGTCCCTAATGGACCGAGGAAGGGAGATTCTTTTCGTCTCTGTCGCTCGCGACCAGCTGACCGGCGCTGCTGCTGCTGCTGGTGCTGCTGCTGCTGCTGCAGGGGGAAGGGCTTGCTCTTCTTGCTGAAGAGCACGAAGGTTCGGCGTCCCACGTCGGACGCGCGGCCTCCACTTCCTCCTCCTCCGCCGCCGGCGCCGCCGCCGCCGCCGCCGCAGCCGCCGCCTCCCGGCGACGCCGAGCCCCCCCCGAGGGACGCCGGCCCCAGCGGGGAGCCCCCCCCATCGTCGTCCCCTAGCAGCAGCCCCCGCGAGGCTCCGCCCACGCGCTCGCCCCCGTCGCCTGCGGGGGTGCGGGAGGTGGGGGGGAACGCAACGACGACGGCCGCCACCGCCGTTCACCGTTAAGTTACGACGACGACGACGTCACTGCGCCGCTTGTGCCAGGCTAGGTGCGCTTCCAGGGGACCCGGAGGCACACACGGGGGCACGTAGAGACACGCGCAGGCCGCGTGCTCGCACACGTACAGGGGCGTAACCATTCCTGAGTGCGCAAAGACACAGGCACATACAGATGCACAAACGCTGAACACACACACACATGTACCGGTGCACACAGGTGAACAAACATACAAAAAGACAAAGATCCCCCGTGTAGCCTTAACAGCACTGCGCACAGCCGCCTTTCTCCAGTGGCGATGTGTACACACCGCACCAGGTACTCATTTGAGGCTGAGTCGACCTAGGGGAGGCCCAGGACCAGGACCAGTTCAGATAATCATCACTGGTGTTGTCCGTGAGCAGGAATCAAACCCTGGTCGCGAAGTTAATAGTACACGTGTATACGCAAACGCATATACACATGTACACATTTTCGGGGACCATTCACCAACCAGTCGCACACACGCAAAACCAACACGTTAAAACACGCTAGAAGGAACACGAGCGCGCGCGGGCGCGTCCTCCCGGGAGTGACGGGGCTTGGTGCGGGAGCCACTCACCCACGGAGGCTGCAGCTGCCGCCGCCGCGGACCCGGCATCGCCGTCGGCGAGCCGCCTCTTGCCACCGTGGCGTCCGGCGCGACCCCGACCCCTCCCGCGACCCCCGCCCCCGGCGCGACCCCGTTCCCCTCCGTGACCCCGCTCCCCGCCGTGACCCCGCGGTCCCTGGCCCCGTGGCCCCGGCGCTGCTGCTCGACCCTTGCCCCCGCTGCCTGCACAAGACCAGCGCGAGTCAAGCGGCGTGGGGAGCGGCCTCCTCGCTCACAGCGGACTCACAGCAGATTCACGCACGGCAGACTCACGCACGGCAGACTCATGGCAGACTCACAGCAGACTCACGCACGGCAGACTCACGCACGGCAGACTCACGGCAGACTCATGGCAGACTCACTCACAGCAGACTCACGCACGGCAGACTCACGCACGGCAGACTCACGCACAGAGACACACGTGGGGCTGTCCACGCTGACAACACGGACGGTGCTCCGCACGCTGTGCCCACGCACCCACCTCTCTCCAGCCCCTCCGCACCGACGCCGCCGCCGCCCTCGTCTTCGGAGGACGAAGACGACGGCGAAGAGGTGGACGACGAGGAGGAGGACGAGGAGGAGGAAGAGGAGGAGGCCGAGCGGGCCGAGCCCCGGCGAGTCCCCCCCGAGAGGGTCGTGGGAGGAGGGGCACCCCCCCCGCACCGGGGAACCCGCGGCCCCTCCGCCCGTCCCGGGCGCCGCTTCAGCGCGGCGCCACCGGCAGCGCCGTGTCGCTCGCTCTGCGCCGGGCCCCCCCGGTGGAGGGAGCGGTCACCGCGGCCGGTCTTGCTTCCCCGCCTCGACGCCACGAGGTCTGTGCCGGGGTGGGGGGTGGAGGGTGGGGATGGGGGGGAGAAACGCTGGTGAGATGAACCACAACGTCACCTCGCCGATGAACCACAACGTAACCTTGGCGATGAACCACGTCACCTTGCCGATGAACCACAACGTAACCTTGGCGATGAACCACGTCACCTTGGCGATGAACCACAACGTCACCTCGCTAATGAACCACGTCACCTTGCCGATGAACCACAACGTCACCTAGCTAATGAATCACGTCACCTTGGCGATGAACCACAACGTCACCTCGCTAATGAATCACGTCACCTTGCCGATGAACCACGTCACCTTGGCGATGAACCACAACGTCACCTCGCTTATGAATCCCAACGTCACATTGCTGATGACATCACCTTGGCGATGAACCACGTCACCTTGCCGATGATCCACAACGTCACCTCGCTAATGAACCACGTCACCTTGGCAATGAACCACGTACGTCACCTCGCTGATGAACCACAGCATCACATTGCTGATGAACGACAATGTAACCTTGCCGATGAACCACAACGTCACCACGCTAATGATCTCGTCGAGGAGCGTACAAAATCATCACACAAACCCCAGTGGTCATCCTCGCAGCAGCAGCAGCAGCAGCAGCTTTTGGCCAGCCTGAAATCGCGCGGCGCTTTCAGATGCGTTTCTGTGGCCGTCTGGAACACATTCGATGTTAGGAAGCCACTGGGAGCTATGATGCGCTTTAAGATCATCATCTAGAATGATAAACTAAGATCTTTAAAACTGCTGGTTGTTGTTGTTGTGTTGAGTTTGTTGTCCTTCCCCCCCAGCTCCTCCGATTAGCACGGTTGGCTACGTACAGCGCGAAAGAAGTTCAACGTACACATGTACATGAGAGCAGTGACGCTCGCTTCACCGGCTCCGAGAAACTCGCAGTTTCCCCGTCCCATTGAGCTGTGTACGATGCGTGTGTGCGTGCAATGTGTGGGGAGCGGTAGCGTAGCGGTTAGCGTGCTGCGCTACGAACCTGGCTACTGGAGTTCGATTCCAGCTCAAGGCCACCAACACTGGAGTACCTGGTGCGGTGTGTAGTAGACATCGCCACTGGGGAGACAAATGCGTCCGGGCGTGGTGCTGGCCGCCGTTCCCCTCGTGTGGCGTGCCGGCCTTCATAGGTGCTACTCGCTAACAGCACTTGCCCCGACAGTATGCTAAGGCTGTACCGGAAATCTTTGTCTTCGTGTGTGTGTGTAAGTACAATTTCTGAGTAGGTGCGTGTGTTTCTGTGCATGTGTGTTTCTGTGCAAGTCTGTGCGTGCGTGTCTGCGTGTGTGCGTCTGTGCGTGTGTGTTTATGCATGTGCGTCTGTCTGTGCGTGTGTGTCTGTGCGTGTGTCTGTCTGTGCGTGTGTGTCTGTCTGTGCGTGTGCGTCTGTGCGCGTGCCTGTGCGTGTGCGTCTGTGTGTCAGTGCGCGTGTGTCTGTGCGTGTGTCTGTGTGTGTGTCAGTGCGCGTGTGTCTGTGCGTGTGTCTGTGTGTGTGCGTCTGTGCACGTACGTCTGTGCGTGTGTGTCTGTGCGTGTGTCTGTGCGTGTGTCTGTGCGTGTGTGTCTGTGCCCGCGTGCCCCACCGTGGGCGAGCGGAGCGGCTGGCGCCGTGGGGAGGTGCATGCCGCTCTCGTAGTTGAAGCCGATCCGCTCCGCTGCCGCTCGCGCTTGCCGCAGGATCACGGCGCCCTGGTCCCTGAGCCGCACGGCCGCGCGGTAAAAAATCGTGTCCTGGGCACACAAAAGACAAAGATCCCCCGTGTAGCCTTAACAGACTGTTGGGGCAAGTGCTATTAGCGAGCAGCACCTGTGAAGACCGGCACGGCACACGATGGGGTGGGTGGCCAGCACCACGCCCGGCCGCCTTTGTCTCCCCAGTGGCGATGTTGACACCACACCAGGTACTCATTTGAGGCTGAGTCATCCTATCGGGTCCCGGGTTGGTAGTGTGGTGCGCCGACCGCTACGTCAACACTCCCCACACACACACCCACACACACCCACACACACACCCACCCACACACACACACCCACACACACACCCACACCCCGCACCCACACACCCACACACCCACACACCCCGCACCCACACCCACACAACAACAACAACCGGCATTCACCACTAAGTGGCGGTGACGTCACCACGACGCTTGTGCCAGGCTATGTGCACGTTGAGGCCACGTGAAGTGTCGAACGCTCGCTGGCAGGTCACGGGGCAGACCCAGGTGCCACGGGTCGACTGACTGAGATGACTACTGTGCCAACTTGCTGTGCTTTAGCCACCCGGCGCTCCGCTTGTTGTTGTGAGCGTCGCTCCTCCACCCTCCGTTGTTGTTGGAGCACGACTGCCTCCAACTGCCCAGTAGCGTCCTTCACGAGCCTCCTCCAAAGTGGCCGATCTTGACACCGCTGGTACCAATCAGGGGCGGAGCCAGGGGGGTGACAGTGTAGACAATTGTCACCCCCGAAAAAAAATAATCGAAAATCTGAAACATTCTGCGTGTAAGTGTACGACACTCGGTCTGGCGGACTCCATGCAACTGCATTGTCAGAGTGTGTCGCCAACCGATGGCGCGGGGTATAGCCGATTTCTTAGCGCGTCGTCCTCGGCCTGCTCCCAAAGCGCAAGACGAGCCTGCCCTTCAGCGGAGGCGCGATCGTTCGCCTTCGCCGCCGCCGGATGAAGAACGGATTTCGCCACGGTCCGATGAGCAAGAGCGGCAGCTACGGCCTGTTCGCGCTCCGGATCGAGACCCCGCCACGAGGCCACTGATGGCGGCGATGGCGGAGTCGGATGCCCAAGTATTGCGCTACGCGTATCTGCAAGCGGGACGGTTCGTACCGCCTCCGGCTCCACAACCTGGCCTGACCGGGACGTTGAAATACCCGTCCAAGTTCGTTGGCGGCGCTGCCCGCCGCCCGACGGCGTCTTTCGTTTGTTCAGTTCGACTGGCTCGAGTACTCGTTCATCAGCGAGTCTGTTTACTGCTTCTATTGCTTCCCGCCGTCGTCAAGCGCAGATGACGCTGCGTCGGCATTCATCTACTCCCCCGGCTTCTCAACCTGGAATAAGATCGGTGGCAAGAATTGCGGCCTACTCAAGCATCAGGGTGGGCACAAGTCGGCACACAACATCGCCGTGAAGAAGGCCAGGGACCTTCTCAACGCCCGGCAGCACGTCGTCACGGGCGACGCTGGGCTGGCCCGACAGAATGCCAAAACCATTGACGGCAACCGCAAGCGCCTGGACGCCTCCGTCGACGTCATGCGCGTCTGCGTGAACCGGGGCATTGCGATGCGGGGACACGACGAGTCGCCTGGCTCTCTTAACCGGGGCAATTTTATGGAGATTCTCAACATGTTACGCAAGCGCGACGCACTGCTGCTTGTGGCCATCACCTGGGAGAACGCGCCGCAGAATGCGACCGTGACCAGCCCCGACGTTCAGAAGGACCTGATCCATGCTCACGCTCAACTGGTGCGCCGGCGCCTCGACGCCGAGATTGGCGACGCGTACCATTGCATCGTGGCGGACGAGTCGCGTGACGTCAGCAAGAAGGAGCAGCTGGTCGTCGTCAACCGCTTTGTCGAGCTCAGTACGGGCATCCTGCGCGAGCGACTCGTCGACATTCAGCACGTGTCGGACGCGTGTGCGCCCACCCTCTGCGGCGCCATTGTCTACCCGCTCTCGAGTCGCAGGCGCCCTATTGAGACCTGCCGTGGCCAAGGATACGATGGCGCGTCGAGCACGAGCGGCGAGATCGCTGGCTTGCAGACCTTGATCGAGGCCATGAACGGCGTGGCCTACTGCACGCATTGCTGGGCGCATAAGCTGCAGCTCGCTCTCGTCGCTGCCTGCACAAAATGGCGTCGCCGACATTGCCGCGTTCTTTGACCTCGTCCAGGACATAACCCACGCTGCCAGTGGCTCGTGCAAGCGCAGCGACCAACCGCTCGCCGAGCACAAGAAGCTCGTGGACGACCTGGTCGACGAGCTGGCGGTCTCCACTGGCCGCGGTCAGAATCAGGAGACGGCGTTGTCGGCGGCGGGCAACACAAGGTGGTCGTCGTCTTTCTGGCGCTCGCTGCACCGCCTGATTGAGATGTTCAACGCGACTGCCGTCGTCATCCAGAACGTGGAAGAGGACGGCGCCAAGGCAGAGCAACGGGCCGAAGCTCATCGCCTTCTTCAACGACATGTTCTCGTTCAAGTTCGCGTTCTGCCTGCACCTGACGGAGCGCTTGCTTAAGATCACGAACGATTTGCACGTGGCGCTGCAGAAAGAGGACCAGGACGTTGTCAATGCGATGCGGCTTGTCGATTGCACCACTGAGTCGCTGAAGGAGCTGCGCGAGAACGGCTACGACGATCTGCTCAACGGGGTACCCGTCGTCGACATGAACGCGAACTACACCCGCCCTGGACGTCCTCGGCGCTGCACCTACGTCATCACCGACGACCACGTGTTTCACATAGACCTCTTTAACGCCTTGATCGACAAGATGCTGGTCGAGCTCGATCTGCGTTTCAGCGCGGAGTCGATGAAGATGTTGCGGCTGGCGGTCCATTTATCGCCCCGCAATCGATAAGAGTCGTTCAACGTCAGCAAGATCCTGGAGCTGGCCTGTGATTTTTACAAGCGCGATTTTCCCAATATCGACATGCTTCTCCTCGGGCAGCAGCTGCGACACTTCGAACAGGAAATCCGGCGAGATGAAGAGCTGAAGAATGTGAACACGCTGCCAATGCTGTCCATCAACCTGGCGACAAGCGGCCGCGGAGATTCCGGCTTTCACCTGGTCTACCGCCTGGTGCGCCTCGTGTTGACCCTACCGGTGGCCACCGCCACAGCCGAGCGCATCTTTAGCGCGATGAAGCACATCAAGACCCGAATGCATACCACAATGGGCGCCGAGTACTTACTGACACGATGCTCCTGTTCGTCGAAAACGACGTCGCAAAAGGCGTCACCAACGACGAAATCATGGAGCAGTTCCAGTCGATGCGCCCGCGCCGCAATCGTATCGTCTGAACTCTAGTTCAACAGCCTGACTCTCTAATCATTCTTGAAATTAAAATTTGTTGAATGTCACCCCGGGCTGAAAATCCTGGCTCCGCCCCTGGTACCAATCATTGGCAAGTCCACTCAGCTCCACATCCTCCTGTACCACATCACTCCATGTCTTCTCTAGCCGGTGCCGCGCCCGTTTAGCCCACTCTATCAGGCCGAACAAAAGCTGTTTAGGCATGCGGTGGCTGGGCATGCGGGCTACATGACCCAGCCAACGCAGCCTTGTCCGCCAGAGAAGCTCACCGATGGGACTTTTGTGAACTCCTCACACCCACACACACCGCGCATCCACACCCCGCACACACACACACCCCGGCACTCAGTATTAACCCCGGCGCTCTCTGTGGCAGTGACACCTCTCTGTGACCTCTCTGTGGCAGTGACACCTGTCTGTGACCTCTCTGTGACAGTGACACCTCTCTGTGACAGTGACACCTCTCTGTGGCAGTGACGCCTCTCTGTGGCAGTGACACCTCTCTGTGGCAGTGATGCCTCTCTGTGACAGTGACGTCTCTCTCTGTGACAGTGACACCTCTCTGTGACAGTGACACCTCTCTGTGACAGTGACACCTCTCTGTGACCTCTCTGTGACAGTGACACCTCTGTGACCTCTCTGTGACAGTGACACCTCTCTGTGACAGTGACACCTCTCTGTGACAGTGACACCTCTCTGTGACCTCTCTGTGACAGTGACACCACTCTGTGACAGTGACACCTCTCTGTGACAGTGACACCTCTCTGTGACAGTGACACCTCTCTGTGGCAGTGACGTCTCTCTCTGTGACAGTGACACCTCTCTGTGACAGTGACACCTCTCTGTGACAGTGACACCTCTCTGTGACAGTGACACCTCTCTGTGACAGTGACACCTCTCTGTGACAGTGACACCTCTCTGTGGCAGTGACACCTCTCTGTGACAGTGACACCTCTCTGTGACTTCTCTGTGACAGTGACACCTCTCTGTGACAGTGACACCTCTCTGTGACAGTGACACCTCTCTGTGACAGTGACACCTCTCTGTGACAGTGACGCCTCTCTGTGGCAGTGACACCTCTCTGTGACCTCTCTGTGACACCTCTCTGTGGCAGTGACACCTCTCTGTGACAGTGACGCCTCTCTGTGACAGTGACACCTCTCTGTGACAGTGACACCTCTCTGTGACAGTGACACCTCTCTGTGACAGTGACACCTCTCTGTGGCAGTGACACCTCTCTGTGGCAGTGACACCTCTCTGTGACAGTGACACCTCTCTGTGACAGTGACACCTCTCTGTGACAGTGACACCTCTGTGACAGTGACACCTCTCTGTGACCTCTCTGTGACAGTGACACCTCTCTGTGACAGTGACACCTCTCTGCGGCAGTGACACCTCTCTGTGACAGTGACGCCTCTCTGTGACAGTGACACCTCTCTGTGACAGTGACACCTCTATGTGACAGTGACAGTCTCTCTCTGTGACAGTGACACCTCTCTGTGACAGTGACACCTCTCTGTGACCTCTCTGTGACAGTGACACCTCTCTGTGGCAGTGACACCTCTCTGTGACCTCTCTGTGACAGTGACACCTCTCTGTGACAGTGACACCTCTCTGTGACCTCTCTGTGACAGTGACACCTCTCTGTGGCAGTGACACCTCTCTGTGACCTCTCTGTGACAGTGACACCTCTCTGTGACAGTGACACCTCTCTGTGACAGTGACACCTCTCTGTGACAGTGACACCTCTCTGTGACAGTGACGCCTCTCTGTGACCTCTCTGTGACAGTGACACCTCTCTGTGACCTCTCTGTGACAGTGACACCTCTCTGTGGCAGTGACACCTCTCTGTGGCAGTGACACCTCTCTGTGACAGTGACACCTCTCTGTGGCAGTGACACCTCTCTGTGACAGTGACGCCTCTCTGTGACCTCTCTGTGACAGTGACACCTCTCTGTGACAGTGACGCCTCTGTGACAGTGACACCTCTCTGTGGCAGTGACACCTCTCTGTGGCAGTGACACCTCTCTGTGGCAGTGACACCTCTCTGTGGCAGTGACACCTCTCTGTGACCTCTCTGTGACAGTGACACCTCTCTGTGACAGTGACACCTCTCTGAGCTCTCTGCGGCAGTGACCCCTCTCCGGGTCGCCGCCGGCTCTAGGGGGCCGCACGCACCTTGGCGTTGTACTGCATGCAGTTGTTGACGATGAGTTGGAAGTCGCTGGCGAAGGTGTCCATGCTGCGGTACTCGTGCGAGTCCACGCGCTGCCGCATCGTGGAGAAGTCCATGGGGGTTTTGATGTGGTCCAGGTAGTCCGACACCTACGCAGGGCATAGACAAAGATCCCCACCCCCCCCGTGTAGCTTATTACAGACTGTAGGGGGCAAGTGCTGCTCGTGAGAATCCGTGAAGGCTGGCACAGCACACAAGGGGGGGGGGGGTAGCAAACACCACCCCCGGCCGCCTTTGTCTCACCAATGCTGATTCTCGTCACGCCACGCCGGGTACACCTAGGGACCTAGGGGAGGCCCAGGACTGTTTAAGATAACTGCCATGAGCGGTCGTCGGATTCGCAGCGCAGTGCGCCGATCACTACACTACCTGTTCTATCCACTGCTGGATGAAGGCCTCAAACGAGTCGTTGCCATCATGCGGGGAACAGTGCTGCTGACCGTACATCTCACTCCGGTACACGAACTGACATCGTCGCTCTATCTCCAAGGTGGTTGCTGTTCTAGGATGAGTTCTCCCCTGTCGGCCATCGTCCCGGATGGTACGTAAGTTGAACTTCATTCGCACCGTACGTAGCCAACCGCGCTAATCGGAGGTGTGGGGGAAGGACAACAGACTATGGGTCTCTGTATGAGTCTACGGGTCTCTGTGCGAGTCTATGGGTCTCTGTATGAGTCTACGGGTCTCTGTGCGAGTCTATGGGTCTGTGTGAGTCTACGGGTCTCTGTATGAGTCTACGGGTCTCTGTGCGAGTCTATGGGTCTCTGTATGAGTCTACGGGTCTCTGTGCGAGTCTATGGGTCTCTGTATGAGTCTACGGGTCTCTGTATGAGTCTACGGGTCTCTGTGTGAGTCTACGGGTCTCTGTGTGTGTCTATGGGTCTCTGTATGAGTCTACGGGTCTCTGTGCGAGTCTATGGGTCTCTGGATGAGTCTACGGGTCTCTGTATGAGTCTACGGGTCTCTGTGTGAGTCTACGGGTCTCTGTGTGTGTCTATGTATGTACAGTATGTTGAACTTCTTCATAGGTGCGGGGCTAAATTGAGGGGGGGGGGGGGGGAAGGACAACAAACAAGCAGTTCTAAATAACTTAGTTCGTCAATCTAGATGGTGATTTAAAAGCGCATCACAGCTCCCAGTGGCTTCCGAATATCGGAAGACCGGCGTTCCAGACGGCCTCTGCGCAGCGTGCCGCACAGCGCATCAGAAAGCGCCGCGCAACGCCGTGCTCCTGCCCAAGTCGCAGTCGCTTCTCGTCGAGGCCATGCGACGACGGCGGCCCCCACCACTCCCTGCTCACCTCCTCGAGGCACACGGGCTCCGAGAAGATGCTGCCCGTGTCTCGCTCCTGCAGCAGCTCCAGGGTCCGGCGTAGGAAGATGACGAACGGGATTAGCCGCGCCTCCATCACGGCCTCCTGCGCTCGGATCTGCACCGCGCGAAACACGCGGACGGGCGTCACCGCATACGACCACGCGTCACCACACGGGGACACACACACGGCCACTCGTCACCGCACAGACACACACACGACCACTGTCACCACACAGACACACACACGGCCACTCGTTACCGCACAGACACACACACGGCCACTGTCACCACACAGACACACACACGGCCACTGTCACCACACAGACACACACACGACCACTCGTCACCGCACAGACACACACACGACCACTGTCACCACACAGACACACACACGGCCACTGTCACCACACAGACACACACACGGCCACTGTCACCACACGGGGACACACACACGGCCACTCGTCACCACACAGACACACACACGACCACTGTCACCACACAGACACACACACGGCCACTGTCACCACACAGACACACACACGGCCACTGTCACCACACAGACACACACACGGCCACTGTCACCACACAGACACACACACGACCACTCGTAACCGCACAGACACACACACGACCACTGTCACCACACAGACACACACACGACCACTGTCACCACACAGACACACACACGACCACTGTCACCACACAGACACACACACGGCCACTCGTCACCGCACAGACACACACACAGCCACTCGTCACCGCACAGACACACACACGACCACTCGTCACTGCACAGACACACACACGACCACTGTCACCGCACAGACACACACACGACCACTGTCACCGCACAGACACACACACGACCACTCATCACCGCACAGACACACACACGACCACTCGTCACCACATGTGGACACACACACGACCACTCGTCACCGCACAGACACACACACGACCACTGTCACCGCACAGACACACACACGACCACTCGTCACCACACAGACACACACACGACCACTCATCACCGCACAGACACACACACGACCACGCATCACCACATGTGGACACACACACGACCACTCGTCACCGCACAGACACACACACGGCCACTCGTCACCGCACAGACACACACACGGCCACTGTCACCACACAGACACACACACGGCCACTCGTCACCACACAGACACACACACGACCACTCGTCACCGCACAGACACACACACGGCCACTCGTCACCGCACAGACACACACACGACCACTGTCACCACACAGACACGACCACTCGTCACCACACAGACACACACACGGCCACTCGTCACTGCACAGACACACACACAACCACTGTCACCGCACAGACACACACACGACCACTCGTCACCACACAGACACACACACGGCCACTCGTCACCTGCACAGGACACACACACAGACCACTCGTACACCGACACAGACCACACACACGGCAACTGTCACCACCACAGACACATCACACGACCACTCGTCACCAGCACAGGACACACACACGAACACATCGTCACCACACAGACACACACACTGACCACTCGCACCACACAGACACACACACGGACCACTGTCCCACACAGACAAACTATCGAACACGTCTTCACCACAACACCACACACTGCCACTCGTAACTGCACATGGACACACACACAACCACTGTCACCGCACAGACACACACACGACCACTCGTCACCAAACAGACACACACCCACGACCACTCGTCACGCACAGAACACACACACGACCACTGTCCCACACAACACACGCACCGCACAGGACACACCACACGGCCACTCGTCACCCACACAGACACACACACGGACCACTGTCACCCCACAGACACACACACGAACCACCGTCACCACACAGACACGACCACTCGTCACCACACAGACACACACACGACCACTCGTCATCACACAGACACACACACAACCACTGTCACCACACAGACACACACATGACCACTCGTCACCACAGACACACACACGACCACTCGTCACCACACAGACACACACACAACCACGCGTGACCGTACGGGTACACACACACGACCACTCGTCACCGTACGGACACACACACAACCACTCGTCACTGCACGGGGACACACATAGGTACACGCGTCACCGCACGCAACCACACGTCACCACATGGACACACATTATCACATCTTACAACAAATTACCCATTAATGATTACATATTATTACCCATGAACACATATCAACACAGCAGACACGGTTGAACATTAAAAAAACATTACTGCGTGCTACCACACACAAAGACAAAGATCTCCTGTGTAGTCTTAACCGACTTGTTTGGGCAAGTGCTGCCACAGCACAAGAGGAGGGTGGGTAGCCAACACCACGTCCGGCCGCCTTTGTCTCCGTGCTAGCAATGTTTACACATTGAATCTTGCACTCATGTGAGGCCGAGTCGATCTAGGGGAGGCCCAGGACTAGTTCACAGAATCATCGTAGTTTGCCATGAGCGGGAATACAACTCAAGGTCGTCAGACCCATTACCGTACACACCCCGGAGCACGGGGATTGGCGGCCGAGTGTGCGGCGTCTACACAAGGGTCACGCGCAACTCGACGCGTCGCCGTGCCGACGTGCGCTCGCGTCGCCAAAGCGCTCGCGTCGCCGTGCCGACGGTCACCACCTGCTCGCGCTTGAGCTTCTCGCGCTTGCGGATGAGCTCGACGAGCAGGCGCGCCCGCTCCAGGTCGTGGCGCAGACGCTGCCACGACTTGAGCTGCTCCTTCAGTGCGTGGCTCTTCTCTCCCAGGTGCTCGCGCTGGGGTCACGCCGGGGGGCAACAGGGGTGGGGGGGAGAGGAGAGGGGGCGTGAGAAGGCCGAGCCGCTCCGTGAGGTGTGATTTGGTGAGATGCGGCCGGAGGTTTGTTTTGTTTATCCCAATTGCGGTATCGGTGTCGCGTCGTCGCGAGAGACGCGGAAGCCATTGGACACGCAGGAACATGCGTCACCACACGGGGACTCTCCATACTTGGAGCTGGCCTCATCAATGACGATATTAACACGTAGGTTTCTTTCCTCTGTGTCAGAAAAGGGCCCACAGAGCTACCACTGAGACCCCTTCGGGCGACACTTTTGGTTCGCACAGTAAGAGGGTGCCGCCTTACAAATTGCAGATAGCACGTTCGTCACGTAATAGTCAAACCTATATTTAATTCTCAAAGCCAGAATTTTTGCCAAATAAGTGCAGAAAATATTATTCTACGTGATGCTTTTGTGCGCAGTCGCTGGTGACCAGGCCGAAAACAGCAACTCACCGCACTTGAGAACCCGGTGGGTTTAATCGCAACCCGGCTTTGAACCCAGGACCTTAGCGGTGCCCGCACAGCACCATGACTTCTGAGCCAACCCAGCAGCCCTCGCAGGCACAAGGCATTGACTCATTCATTCATCAGTATCCTAATACGTAAAATTGAGCTGTGCGACACGTGATAATTTGACAATTTCTACAAACTACGTGTAACTTATATTTACGTTCTAAAAAAAAAAAAACTCCAATCCTAATCGGGGCGAACATGGGGTTGATACCAAGCAGATATTTTTTTCTTTGTCAGGCTTGACGGACTCTACGGCAATCTACTGCTCTACCGCGCAGAGAAATAAAACCAAAACATGGGGGGATGGCAGGCTCAGACCAAACTAAAATAAAATAAAAACTACGGCAAAAAAAGTTACAATTTCCAAAACGGACGACCGCGGATTGCGAAAGTTCGCCAAAACGTCTGGGTTACAGGCTCTAACGAATGTTCACTGTGAATCTTGAAGGGCAGCCTCCGTTACCTGCTCCATGGATCGCTGCGACTGCAGGTGGGACTGCAGCCTCCGCAGAAGGGGCACGCCATTGCGGGACTGCCGCTTGAGCGTCCAGTAGCTGTGCATGCGCTGCATGAACTGGCTCTTGCGCTGCATGGACACGCGGCTAATGATCTTGCTCAGCCTGCGAGCCAGCGAGGTGGGGGGAGGGCGGTAAACAAAGGCACGGCAACGCACGGCATCAGGGCACCAGCAAAACTGCCCCGCTGATAGGAGGGGTTTCGAAGCGCCACGCGTCAGAGCTCCGGGTTCGAACTCACACCTCCATTTCTCCAGAGTCCAACCCATACTAGAAGTTGGGATAATCAATTACCGTCTTAAGACGTAGGATTTTGTTTTTGCATCCCAATTGATGAGGTATCATTTACTCTACCGATTACCGGCTCATTACTCAATGAATACAATAACTCTAAAAAATGTGTATATATGTCACTCTTTGGTTCTTTCGGTAAAGTCACATGGGTAGAAAAATAAATAAATCACGACGTTTCGATCGCAACACAAGCAATAATCGTCATCAGGTGGGACAACCACAGCAAGAAAAACTGTTTATTGGGATTCCTGCAGTCAAGAAAGCTTCAAATCAAAATTGTAGATATGTTGTTCTACCGTGAGTACCCATGTGTGTGTCACTGGCCGGGAGGTGATGGCGAGGGCTTGGGGGTGTAAATTGGCGGCGTCACGCTGGGAACGCTCCCCTTGCCGGGGGGGTTTCTCACCTTTGAAAGGCGGGATTTTTGGGGGCATCCACCATTGTTTTTAAATCGGGCCTCAGAATGAGAATGTTTATTTTATCCGAGTAAAACCACCCCCTGAGCTGTTCAGCTCCTTTTTCAACGGCGACTCGGCCAGCCCTGAACTATCGCGCAATAAGGATCGGTTGATGAGAGAGCGGACTTCATCGATTGATCCATATGTACAGGGCCTAACCCACGTCTCCAGCCTCCAGGGTTTATCGCCGGCCCCCAAAATCCCACCCCCCCCGCGCGCCTCTCCCGCCCGTCCCCCCCCCATCATCACACATCTGTCCGAGACGGCCATGTAACATCGCGCACCTGTGGGGAGGAATGCACGGCACGGACACGATGGGCACAGCGGCGCGCCGCTCCGCCAGGATCTTCCGCGCCTTCTTCATCTTCTGCTTCGACTTGGCCTTGGCTTTCTTGGCCGACCAGCCCGGGGTGCAGCCTCCGGCCGCGCCGCCCTCCCCGTCCTCACCGTCGCTCTCGCTGCCTGTCAGCAGCAGGGGCCTGCGAGACGTGGGGAATGAACGGCGATGCGGAGGATTTCCGTGAAGCGCGGCGGGAATGTGACGAGTGTGTGACGGGAGCGTGACGGGAGCGTGACGGGAGCGTGACGGGAGTGTGACGGAAGCGCGACGGGAGCGTTACGGGAGCATGACAGAAGCGTGACGTGAGCGTGATGGGAGCGTGACAGGAGCGTGACAGGAGCGTGATGGGAGCGTGACAGGAGCGTGACGGGATCGTTACAGGAGCGTGACGGGAGTGTGACGTGAGCGTGACGGGAGCGTGACGGGAGCGTTACGGGATCGTTACGGGAACGTGACGGGAGCGTGACGGGAGCGTGACGGGAGCGTTACAGGAGTGTGACGGGAGCGTGACGGGATCGTTACGGGATCGTTACGGGAACGTGATGGGAGCGTGACGGGAGCGTGACGGGAGCGTGACGGGAGCGTGACGGGAACGTGACGGGAGCGTGACGGGAGCGTGACGGAAGCGTGATGGGATCGTTACAGGAGTGTGACGGGAGCGTGATGGGAGCGTGACGGAAGCGTGATGGGATCATTACGGGAGCGTGACGGGAGCGTGACGGGAATGTGATGGGAGCGTGACGGGAGCGTGATGGGAGCGTGACGGGAGCGTGACGGGAGCGTGACGGGATCGTTACGGGAACGTGACGGGAGCGTGACGGGAGCGTGACGGGATCGTTACGGGAACGTGATGGGAGCGTGACGGGAGCGTGACGGGAGCGTGATGGGAGCGTGACGGAAGCGTGACGGGAGTGTGACGGGAGTGTGACGGGATCGTTACGGGAACGTGATGGGAGCGTGACGGGAGCGTGATGGGATCGTTACAGGAGTGTGACGGGAGCGTGACGGGAGCGTGACGGGAGCGTGACAGGAGCGTGATGGGAGCATGACGGCAGCGTGACGGGAGCGCGACGGGAGCGTGACGGGAGCGTGCACCGTTGAACAGGAGCGTCCCCACCGGGTCGCCCTGGCATGAGTCGTGCCGAACCATGATACTCCGCGTCGCTTAATCTTATGGCTTGCCATGTCACACCCCGCACCATGTCACACCAAGATACACCACACCACGCCACACCATACCATGCCACACCGCACCGTGTTACATTACACCAAGTCACACCACACCACGCCACACCATACCACGTCACACCGCACCACGCCAACACCGCACCACGCCAACACCGCACCACGCTAACACCGCACCACGCTAACACCACACCACGCCAACACCGCACCGCGCAACACGCCACATCGCACCAGGCCAAACCCGCACCGCACCACACCGAATCATGTCACATTCACCACACACCACGCCGGACCGCACAACGCCGCAACGCCGCGCCACACCAAGCCACACCGCACGATGCCACACCACGTAACGCCACATCCCTCCATCGCGGGCTGAGCTCTGCAACTGGTAGCCTACGGAGCTCGTCTAGGCAGAGAGTGAGCCGCTGAGTGATACGGCTCAGATACGTACAAGGAGGGCCTCAACTGCCTAACCTGTACACAAAAACCACACAGGTGAGAGCCTCGGCTATGCCTCACCTGTACATGAAAACCATTGCAGGTGAGGAGGGTCACCCTATGCCTCACCTGTACATGAAAACCACACAGGTGAGAGCCTCGGCTATGCCTCACCTGCACACGAAGGACACGCAGGCGAGCGAGACGGAGACACGCACAAGGACGAGGGGGACACGTACCGCCGCACACTGCCGGGCGGCGTGTGAATGTCGCAGTACGCCGTCTTGCGGACGCTGAAGGACGTCCCGTTGGCGCCCGTCTCGCGCACGGGCTCCATCTTCATGTAGAGGCCCGCCTGCTGGGCGCACGTCACGTGGAAGGCCGTGTAGCAGTTGGCCTTGTGGCACTGGATGCAGGCGCCCGAGCCGCGCTGCTTGCACACGTAGCAGGTGAGCTTCCAGCGCGCCGGCGGGATGTGCTCGATGCTGTCGATGGGCTCCAGGAAGACGGTGTTGGCGAAGCACACCTCGGGGATCCACAGGGCGCACACCACGTGCGCCCAGCGCCCGTCGTCCGTCTGCTTGAAGGCGCCGCCCTTGTTGGGGCACAGCGCGCAGTCCACGGCCCGCGAGGGCGACTGCAGGCAGCGGCGGCACAGCCACTGGCCCTCGGGGATGTAGGGCACCCCGTAGCACTCCTGGTGCACCGCCAGGTTGCACATGTCGCAGAAGAGGATCACGTTGCTATTCTGGCACTCGCCGTCGTTGCAGATGCAGCAGAGGGCGTCCTCGTCCGGCGGGGGCAGCGGCACCGATGCTGCGCCGGGCGCGGCGGCGGCGGGGACGGCGGCACGCACACAAGGTGAGGGAAACAGGTGAGAGATGCGTACGGGTGAGAGACAGGTGTGAGACAAAGGCTACAGACGCATAGAAGTGAGAAAGGCACCAATCCTGCATCCGTAATCCATTTTACGCTGGGTTTTAATCGCACAGTTTTGGACAATCCTTATGATCAATTTGGCTTGGCTTTCACTTTCGTAAAACAGAGCTAATCTATAAGCATAATGAAAATTAGATTAAATCATTAAGAATTGACACAATCTTGGCTCTTTCTAGCTGATGGCCACCACAATACTGTGTGCAGCAACTAGGAATGCAGCTTGCATTTAGATGCTCGACACACAATCAATGCATGTTGGGTGGGTTTGGGTGGGTTGGGGTGGGTTTAGGTGGGTTTGGGGTGGGTGCATTTGGGTGGGTTTGGGTGGGTTTTGGTGGGTGCATTTGGGTGGGGTGGGTGGGTTGGGTGGGTTTGGGTGGGGTGGGTGGGTTTGGGTGGGTTGGGTGGGTTTGGGTGGATTGAGGTGGGTTTGGGTGGGTTGGGTGGGTTGGGGTGGGTTGGGGTGGGTTTGGGTGGGTTTAGGTGGGTTGGGTGGGTTTGGGTGGGTTGGGTGGGTTTGGGTGGGTTGGGTGGGTTTGGGTGGGTTGGGTGGGTTTGGGTGGGTTGAGGTGGGTTTGGGTGGGTTGGGTGGGTTGGGGTGGGTTGGGGTGGGTTTGGGTGGGTTTAGGTGGGTTGGGTGGGATTTGGGTGGGTTGGGTGGGTTTGGGTGGGTTGGGTGGGTTTGGGTGGGTTGGGTGGGTTTGGGTGGGTTTTGGGTGGGTTGGGGTGGGTTTTGGGTGGGTTGGGGTGGGTTTTGGGTGGGTTTTGGGTGGGTTGGGTGGGTTTGGGTGGGTGCATTTGGGTGGGTTGGGCAGGTTTCGGTGGGTTTTGGCTCAAACGATGGGCCCTCACCCCCAGAGGGGTCGGTAGAGTTGGCCCCTCCGCCGGCCCCCGCCGTGTCGCCTTGGATGCCGCCCAGGGGCTTGGCGCGGCTCTCGAAGCATGACTCCTTCTCCAGGCGATCCATGAGCAGCTCGAAGGACTCCTGGGTGACGGGTGGCAGGCCCTCGCCGTGCCGCCGCTCGTTCATCATCTCCAGCCACGCGTAGTCCTCCTCGTCCATGTGGTACTCCACCTGAAGGGGGGGAAGCCCCACGGGGGTAACGAGTCACCTGGCCCCCTACCGCTCGTCCGCCCCCTCCCCCACGCCCCCCACCGTGTTCGCCACGGAGGGGGGGGGGTCATTGGCAGGTGAGAGAAACGTTCAAAACGAGCGCGAGGTGTCGTGCGAACGGGCGAGCTTACGCTGAACGAATCGACGCGAAACGCCATGCCGCGTGTACGCGCACACGCGCACGCAGGCACGCAGGCACGCAGGCACGCACCTCCTCGTCGAGCTCTTCGCTGGACTTCTCGATGTATCTGTAGTAGGCGCTGGGGCGCGCGGGGGCCACCGGCGCGTCGTACTCGATCACGCGGAACATCGCCTCCGGGATCTTGCACGCGGCCGGGCCCCCCGCCGGCGCGCACGCCACACCGGAGGGGGCCGCTCCCCCAGAGCCGGACCCCGAGCCAGACCCCGGCCCCGCGGGAGCCCCGGGAGCGGCCTGGCCGGGGGTGGCCACCGCTCCCTGGTGGGCCGACGTCCACGCGCCTCCTCCGCCGGCGCCCGGACCCCCGTCGCCCCCTCCTCCTCCGTCCCTCCTGCGTTCCTTGTGCTTGTGCCGACCGCTCTTGGGTTGCTGCTGATGCTGCTGCGCCGTTCCGTCGGCGTTCTCTTTGTTGCCGGCGCCAGTCTCCGCGGCTCCCCCATCCTTGTGTCTCGTGCGCTCGTGTTTCACCTCCCTTTGCGCGCCTCCTCCTCCTCCGCCTCCTGCTCCTTCGGTGGCCTCCTCCTCCTCCTTGATGCCGGCGACGCCGTTCTTGCTGTCGCCGTTCTCCTGGCCGCCGGTGCCGTTGTTCTGGTTGCGCTGTCGCCGCTCGTCCCCTCCGGCGGCCGCCACCGCCGCCTCCTTCTCCTCCGGCTGCGGCGCCGTCTCATCCTCGTCCTCGTCCACGATCTCGATGGAGTCGAAGATGCTGATGCGGATGACCCGGCCGTCCAGGTCGACCTCCACCAGGCGCTGCGCCTGCGCGTAGGTGAGGGCGTCGCGCCCCGGAGAGCGAGCGGCGCCGCCGCCGCCGCCGCCCGTGGCCCCCGGGGACGGAGCCCTGGAGGTCCCACCGCCGCCGCGGCCCTTGCGGCCCCGGGGCTTGCGCGCCGGCGTGGGCGCCCCCGCGCCGTCCCCATGCTCGTAGTGGAAGAGGTGGTACTCGATGCCGCTGTAGGACTTGTAGATCTTGCGGCACGAGGACACGGGGCATTCGTAGGGGGGCTTGGTGGCGCGGAGGTTGCAGCAGTAGGTGCGCACGTCGAAGTCCAACCCCACCATCGCACTGTCTGTGTGTGTCTGTGTGTGTCTGTGTGTGTGTCTGTGTGTGTGTCTGTGTGTGTCTGTCTGTGTCTGTAACGGTTAGCGCGCAACGCTATGAACTCACGGGCACGAGTTCGATTCCCGCTCACGGCCAACACCGGTGACGATTATTGAACCGGTCCTGGGCCTCCCCGAGGTCAACTCAGCCTCAAATGAGTACCCGGTGCGATGTGTAAACATCACCACTGGGGAGACAAAGGCCGCCGGGCGTGGTGTTGGATACCCACCCCCTCGTGTGCCGTGCCGGCCTTCATAGGTGCTCGCTAACAGCACTTGCCCCAAGTCTGTTCAGGCTATATGGGGGATCTTGGTCTTTTTATATGTATTTGTGTGTGAGCACAGCCACACCACACCTTTCGTGGGTCTGTGAAAGTATCTGTGTGAGGTGCAGGCCACAGCACCTCCTGCCCGGCCCCACCACGTCAGTTCTACTAAGAAGACCTACGCGTTCGTATGCAAAATGGGTTGTCGCGGTGATTAACGCATTTGCGCTACAAACACAGTGGCCCAAGTTCAATCCCCAGCCACGTCTCACGACTCCCTCCTGGGGCCTCACCTAGATCGACTCGGCCTCAAATGGGCTCCTGGTGCGGTATGAAAATTCAGCACCAAAGAGACGAAGGCAGCCGGGCGTGGTGGGTGTAGACACAACCACTGCCTCTTTGTGCGGCGCGGTGGCCTTTATACTTGCTCGCAAAGAGCCTCCGCCAGGGAAAGCCAAGCTGTCGCAGGCGACAGGTTGCACTGTTTTCATCAAGCTTGTGCCGTATTACTCTGCCGGCTGGAGTTGCACGTGCTGTAACATCCAGTCTGCAATGCCAAGTCGCTCGTCCTCCGTGCTGACGACTTGCCGCTGCTGTAGAGGCTTGTTCGTGTTAAACAAAAAAAATATCAGTCAATACCGGTGCGGTTCTTGGGCTCACCGCTATATATTATGACATTGTAAGCTATCTTTACGCGCTGTGTGTGCTGTGTGTTACCTTGAGAGCTATCCGTACGCACTGTGTGTGCTGTGTGTTAACTTGTGAGCTATCTTTACGTGCTGTGTGTGCTGTGTGTTAACTTGTGAGCTATCCTTACGCGCTGTATGTGATGTGTGTTACCTTGTGAGCTATCTTTACATGCTGTGTGTGTGTTGAACTTGAGTTATCATTACGTGCTGTGTGTTACCTTGTGAGTTATCTTGACGCGCTGTGTGCGCTGTGTTACCTTGTGAGCTATCCTTACATGCTGTGTGTGCTGTGTGTTACCTTGTATGCTATCTTTACGCGCTGTGAGTGCTGTGTGTTAACTTGTGAGCTATCTTTACGTGCTGTGTGCTGTGTGTTACCTTGTATGCTATCTTTACGCGCTGTGTGTGCTGTGTGTTAACTTGTGAGCTATCTTTACGTGCTGTGTGTGCTGTGTGTTACCTTGTGAGCTATCTTTACGCGCTGTGTGTGCTGTGTGTTACCTTGTGAGCTATCTTTACGTGCTGTGTGTGCTGTGTGTTACCTTGTGAGCTATCTTTACGTGCTGTGTGTGCTGTGTGTTACCTTGTGAGCTATCCTTACGCGCTGTGTGTGCTGCGTGTTACCTTGTGAGAAATCTTTACGCGCTGTGTGTTACCTTGTGAGCTATCCTTACATGCTGTGTGCTCTGTGAACTTGTGAGCTATCTTTACGCGCTGTGTGTGCTGTGTGTTACCTTGTGAGCTATCCTTACGCGCTGTGTGTGCTCTGTTAACTTGTGAGCTATCCTTACGCGCTGTGTGTGTTGTGTGTTAACTTGTGAGCTATCCTTACGCGCTGTGTGTGCTCTGTTAACTTGTGAGCTATCCTTACGCGCTGTGTGTGTTGTGTGTTAACTTGTGAGCTATCCTTACGCGCTGTGTGTGCTCTGTTAACTTATGAGCTATCCTTACGCGCTGTGTGTGCTGTGTGTTACCTTGTGAGCTATCCTTACGCGCTGTGTGTGCTCTGTTAACTTGTGAGCTATCTTTACACGCTATGTGTGCTGTTACCTTGTGAGCTATCTTTACGCGCTGTGTACTGTGAGTTACCTTGTGAGCTATCTTTACATGCTGTGTGTGCTGTGTGCTACCTTGTGAGCTATCCTTACGCGCTGTGTGTGCTGTTTGTTACCTTGTGAGCTATCCTTACGCGCTGTGTGTTACCTTGTGCGCTATCTTTACGCGCTGTGTGTGCTGTGTGCTACCTGTGAGCTATCTTTACACGCTGTGTGTGCTGTGTGTTACCTTGTGAGCTATCCTTACGCGCTGTGTGTGCTGTGTGTTACCTTGTGAGATATCTTTGCGCGCTGTGTGTGCTGTGTGTTAACTTGTGAGCTATCTTTACACGCTGTGTGTGCCGTGTGTTACCTTGTGAGCTATCCTTACATGCTGTGTGTGCTGTGTTACTTTGTGAGCTATCTTTACACGCTGTGTGTGCTGTGTGTTTACCTTGTGGGCTATCCTTACACGCTGTGTGTGCTGTCTGCTACCTTGTGAGCTATCATTACACGCTGTGTGTGCTGTGTGTTACCTTGTGAGCTATCCTTACACGCTGTGTGTGCTGTGTGTTACCTTGTGAGCTATCCTTACATGCTGTGTGTGCTGTGTTACTTTGTGAGCTATCTTTACACGCTGTGTGTGCTGTGTGTTTACCTTGTGAGCTATCCTTACACGCTGTGTGTGCTGTGTGCTACCTTGTGAGCTATCATTACACGCTGTGTGTGCTGTGTGTTAACTTGTGAGCTATCTTTACACGCTGTGTGTGCCGTGTGTTACTTTGTGAGCTATCCTTACACGCTGTGTGTGCTGTGCAACTTTGTGAGCTATCTTTACACGCTGTGTGTGCTGTGTGTTTACCTTGTGAGCTATCCTTACACGGTATATACTGTGTGTTACCTTGTAAGCTATCCTTACGCACTGTGTGTGCTGTGTGTTTAGCTTGTGAGCTATCCTTACACGCTGTGTGTGCTGTATGCTACCTTGTGAGCTATCATTACACGCTGTGTGTGCTGTGTGTTACCTTGTGAGCTATCCTTACACGCTGTGTGTGCTGTGTGTTAACTTGTGAGCTATCTTTACACGCTGTGTGTTACTTTTTGAGCTATCCTTAAACGCTGTGTGTGCTGTGCAACTTTGTGAGCTATCTTTACACGCTGTGTGTGCTGTGTGTTTACCTTGTGAGCTATCCTTACACGCTGTGTGTGCTGTGTGCTACCTTGTGAGCTATCATTACACACTGTGTGTGCTGTGTGTTACCTTGTGAGCTATCCTTACACGCTGTGTGTGCTGTGTGTTAACTTGTGAGCTATCTTTATGCGCTGTGTGTGCTGTGTGTTGCCTTGTGAGCTATCTTTAACCGCTGTGTGCGCTGTGTGTTACCTTGTGAGCTATCTTTACACGCTGTGTGTGCCGTGTGTTACCTCGTGAGCTATCCTTACGCGCTGTGTGTGCTGTGTGTTAACTTGTGAGCTATCCTTACGCGCTGTGTGTGCTGTGTGTTAACTTGTGAGCTATCCTTACGCGCTGTGTGTGCTGTGTGTTACCTTGTGAGCTATCCTTACACGCTGTGTGTGCTGTGTGTTACCTTGTGAGCTATCCTTACACGCTGTGTGTGCTGTGTGTTACATTGTGAGCTATCCTTACGCGCTGTGTGTGCTGTGTGTTACCTTGTGAGCTATCCTTACACGCTGTGTGTGCTGTGTGTTACCTTGTGAGCTATCCTTACGCGCTGTGTGTGCTGTGTGTGTGTCGTGTCACCGTGTAGTAATTACGTTACTCGCCAGGGTCTTGGGGTGCGCTGTTCACCGAGGGCTGAGTCGAGGAGGCTGCTGCTGCTGCTGTTGTTGTTGTGATTATTCCCTTGAAGGAGTCCGCGTGACGACTGCGAGCGAGTTCGGCGTCACGGTCGGACGCCGTTCACTATCGACGCAGTCCAGGCGAGGCGACGTCGAGAAGACCGGGCGATGCAGGGGGGTGTGGGGGGGTTCTTCTCCGGGGTTCTGTCTCATTTGTCTCTCTCTCTTGTCTCTGTGTCTCTATCCGTGTCTCCCTCTACCTACCTTTGTGTATTTCTCTGTCTCTATGGCTCGATGTCGTCTCGATGCGTCTCTTTGTAACTCTGCCTCGTTCGTCTACGTTAGTTGCTGTATGCCCCGACGTCCCCGTGTCTGTCTCTACGTCTCTGTGTCCACGTCTCTGTGTCCTCGTGTCTCCCTCTCTGTCTTTAGATCTGCCTCGATGTCTCCCCGTCTGTTTCTCTCTGTGCTCGGTGTCTCTCTGTGTATGTCTGCTTAACCTATCTGTACACTGTCTAAATAAAGTGTCTTAGGTGTATACAACGCCTCTTCACGTCGCTGTGTCTCTCTTTAAATGTCCATCTCCCTCTGTGTATGCTTTGCACCGCCTCTGTGTGCCACTATATGTCTATATATAAACACTGTCTTTGTATTACTGTGTCTATGCATCTCTATTCAATAACCACGTATATCGCTCTATCTCTACGCGTCTCTAAATGCTCTTTGTGTATTGTTATTAAACACGTGTCGCTACTATCTCTCTGCGTACCGACACTCTACGCATCTCTATGGATATCTCAACGCACCTCTGAATGTTCTCTACGTATCGCTCTACGTATCTGTAAACTGCAGTATGTATCGCTACGTGTCTACGTTGTCTCCCTGTCTCTCTACGTTGTCTCCGTGTCTCTCTCCGTGTCTCTCTACGTGGTCTCTGTCTCCGTGTCTCTCTACGTGTCTCTCTACGGGTGTCTGTCTCCGTGTCTCTCTACGTGGTGTCTCTCTACGTGGTGTCTCTCTACGTGTCTCTCTACGTGTCTCTCTGTCTCCCTGTCTCTACGTTGTCTCCGTGTCTCTCTACGTGGTGTCTCTCTACGTGGTGTCTCTCTGTCTCCGTGTCTCTCTCCGTCTCTCTCTGTCTGCGTGTCTCTCTACGTGGTGTCTCTGTCTCCGTGTCTCTCTACGTGGTGTCTCTACGTGGTCTGTCTCTCTACTTGTCTCTCTACGTGTCTCTCTGTCTCCGTGTCTCTCTACGTGGTGTCTCTGTCTCCGTGTCTCTCAACGTGGTGTCCCT